CCCTCTGATCTGGTGGGAGGTTGGTGGGATCAGCAATGCCGCTTGTTGGTAAATCTTGCAAAGGCAGGAGTAGCAATTTTTAAATGAAACCAATGCAGCATTCCGAGCAGATCGGAAGCCACTGGTTCGTACCGGTACGGTACACATGTAATGCTACTGTGTGTAATGGAGTAATGGAGTTTCTTGTTATGGCCGCGAGAATGTCAGTGGATCCTTGTAGAAAAATGCAATAAGTGTTATCCAACCAGCAGGGGTAACACGTTCAAGCGACAAGCGACGATGCCAGGGTCTTCCAATCAATGGATGGGGATGAAGTGTGAAGTGTGGTACTGGCACTCACACACGTTCAAGTCAGAGCGCCAAAGGGGAAGTTGGAAGTTGCAGGACCGGGACCTCGTATTTTAAGTATTATTGTAGTCCCGAGGAGTCCGTACACTCCTACCTTGATATTCAGATATCTCTAAGTTCACTTGAACCCTGAAGGCATCTTAGCAAAAACTCAAATATCTGCACTGAGAATCTTCTTAGCATTTGTTAAAATTCAGGGTCCAAAGGCAACATCTTAGCTTTCTTGTCATTTCTATTGACCATACTATTAGTATGGTATATACCAAACTTGAAACTCTGCTTCCCACCTTACTGAACATACCCCGAGGAGAAGAGAGGAAAGAGCAGTGTATCATCCGCCCGAGGCGAAACTTTTGACTTTTGGTACCTGTTTTTAAGGCATTTTATTGTAGAAAAGTGTCATTTTATCATCGCTCAATCTCTTATGTGCCCAAGGGAGAGTGCTTACTGGCTATCTTATCTCTAGTAGTGCAGATCTGAGTGTCTCAAGTATCTTAACATTTGGTTGGTCACAATGATTAGTAGATGTTATCTTAACATTCCAGCAAATCTCAGTTTTCGACATCTTATCTTATAGTCTAGGAACCAGGAGCGTCGCCGTTGTGGTCGCGGAAAAAGGGGAAGTTGCGACCTCGCACATGTTTAAATTTAAAAATGTGCAGCTTCGCCGACAACACGACTGCGAGTTTTACGTGTGTACCGGTATGAGTGCTCCCACGTCCTACATTAATACAGTATCTTTATCTACATGTACCTTTGTAACAAGCTTAAAAGCCAGAGACAGTGGCACGTACTGTACCAGGTACCATGTTCAAGGGACAAAGCCAGGGTCTTACAATTTTAAAATTGATGTCGATGAAGTACTGGCACTCTTGTTCAACTCTGAGAGCAGTCACGTCTAAGTCTAAGCATGACGAACGGATCAAAAACAAAGGGGGAAATTGCAAGTACTGTACCTTTAGGAGATACCAACCAGCGTCTCTGGTGTACCACATGTGGTCGAAGCAAAATGCTTGAGTCGAGCCACACATGGCCACACCCGACTGCTCTGGCACTTTCGACGCTGCGAAATTCGTGAGGTCTTTGGAACCTCTTTACCTGGGCAGTCTTGGTGCCAGAGCTCTCGCCCCCTTTCCTCGGCAGAGCGGGGCTCGAGAGAAAGCGAGGCAACGCCAGGAACTCGTACTGCTGGTAACTTTCAGTTGCGGGGACCGTTGCTAGCTAGATGGTGCAGTCTTCCTTCTTTACGGAACCCCCAGCACTCATACCTGGTCACCTTCAGTGGTTATTAGCTAGCTCATGGCTGAAGCCGTGGGAAACTGCCATGCAATTTCTTCATCGCCTGTGTTCGAGCCATCACTAGTCAAGTATGAAGCACATTTCCAATACGGTACCGGTGCGCCCAATTCCGCTAAGATTCCAGGATAGTAGTCAGCATCTTCAAATGTGGCATACAGGGTCTCCAGAGGTGGAGCGCACGGAGCAAAGATAATCCGGTATGAACGATAGTTCATGACGGTCTTCGGCGCGTCACCGCAATTGTTTTCACGAGCTCCTGACCTGACCTCCATTGCCATCATTGTACCGGTACCACCCAGCGATCCCTACCTCCGGTACCGTAGAATCACGAGATCAACGGTACACGTGTACGACGCATGGTCCGTGCCCGACGATCATTTTGATTATCATTCGATTCGAGCCAATAATGGATGCTTTTGGCTCTGTTGCATACTTACAATTCAAAAAAAGGCGGCAATACCGGTACGTATGCGGTCCAGCATGGCCAATGCGGGCTCTTCGACAAGTCTTGCTTCCAGCCAGCTGAGGGCGATTGGTAAAATAACGTTGTTTAGGCAAGTGGATACATCGGGCCTAGCTAGCTAATTGTGCATGACCATGGCATGACATGCTGCCATGACATGCCATGCCATGGACTGTTACCATGCCATGATGGTGACTGTCACCATGTCATGATGGCATGGACTGTCGATGGAAATCGACCAGTGACTGTCGATGGAAACCGACCAGGGACTGTCACCATGGCATGGACTGTCGATGGAAACCGACCAGTGACTGTCGATGGAAACCGACCAGTGACTGTCGATGGAAACCGACTGTCACCATGTCATGATCGAAACTAACACTATGTCACCATGTCATGATCGAAACTGATCACCATACGGTACCCGTGCGGGCATGATGCAATGGAACCAATGACGGGCATCACGTTGGACTCGACGTCGAGTCGAGTCAAAACGAGACTTACTAACATGACTCGACTGACTCAAATTAGTCGTCTGTGAGATTATTCGAAACACCTTCGACCAGTCGAATACTCATGCCGACACTGCGTCCAGCTGCCCATCCACACAGCACAGCAACAGCAAACACCCACCTCGCCTCCACAGCTGTAGTAGTTTAGCCTGGCTAGTAGCAGAGGAAAGGTTGTAAGATGGTCCAACAACAAGGAGTTCAGACTCTGAAGCGCAAGCAGCAGTCCCAAAAGATTTCGATATCGCCACTGTACTTTTTGCTAGCCGTCTTGTCGATTGCCGTGTTGATTCTGGGGTATAATCTAAAGAGCTTATCCAAGGCCATCCAGGAGAGCCATCACCAACAACAGCAAGAAGTACCGGTAGTACCAGGGGATGATAATAAAAATGCCAAGACACTAGCCGATGATGCTGCGAAACTAGCTGCTGTGAAACGAGCCGCATTGGAAAAGATCAATGGTAAACAAGAAACAGAAAACCAAGGAGCTACCACCAAGAATGACGGTAGTGGTGTCCCCCAATACCACATTATTTTCTCCACGGGCTGCAGTGCCTTTCAAGATTGGCAATCCTACATTTTCTTTTTCCATGCGGCCAAAGTCTTGAAACGAACGTCTCCCCCCAAAAGTGGCATGGCCAATACCGAAGTGACGCGGGTCGCATCGGGCTGTGGATCGGATGCCGATGCTGAAGCTATGCAAGCACTGCACAGGGAACAAATCAAAATCATGAATCCCAACTTTCATTTGCACATTACACCCGATTTTTCCACCGTTCATGGGTCCACCAAACCCTACAAGTACTGTAAGTTATGTGGTTGGAATGGCTAGATATATAGCTAGAGTATTCTGGTGTTGGCTCACATCTACTTCTCCTCATTCATTCGTGACAGTCAACAAGCCTTATGGGACCAAACACTGGATGGAACATGTATTGGGGTATACCAAAGATGAAACTACTGGCAAACCAAATGACAACCCGCAACACGACAATGACATAGTCATTCTCATGGACCCGGATCAGATTATTCTAAGACCCTTCACCAATGACTTTAGTCAACACCCCGAACAATGGCGCACTCGCCAGTCACTGCCCCTTTGGGACAAGGTCGTTCGAGGACAACCCTTTGCCCAGCAGTACGGATTCCACAATCAATGGTACCAGAAAACCGATATTACCAAGATTGCCAAACCGGACGAACTACCCTCTCCGCTCGAAACCATGAATGATCGAATGCGGAATGAAAACTTTTCCGCGGGACCTCCCTACATTGCCGTCGGTGCCGACATGTATCAAATATCCGACAAATGGGCCGAATTTGCCGTACCGACGCATGCCCAGTATCCATTCTTGTTGGCCGAAATGTTTGCCATGTGTTTGGCAGCCGCGCATCTCAATCTGCCACATCAGGTATGTATCTGAACTGCACGAAGAGAACAACGCAAGTGCAATGGTTTTGATCAGCTGACATATAAATTGCTCTTCATTCTTTCTTTTGTGTACATAGATTACACAAAGCTTCATGGTGAGCGACGTTGGTACAGGTGGCCTGGAAGGCTGGAAATATGGAATTGATCAGTACAGCGGAACGGACATGTGTGAAGAAGGCAAGATCCCTGAGGAAAAGTTGCCAAATGTACTGCACTATTGTAAGTTGGGTCTTGGTTCTGCCTGATGAATGAATGCTCGCCTTGTCCAGTTCGTCACGGGTGGTTGTGGCTCACACCAACTGCTGGCTTTGTGCTCTATCCATTCTACATGAACAGGTCAACGATATTGGCTCGGAAAGTGGTTTATTGGCAAATACAAACTACCGAAGGACTTTATCTCCTGTGAATCGCCACTCCTCAAAGTGCCGCCCAAAGATGTGGCACTCCAATACGATTTTGCCGTCGCGCCCACTGGAGAAATCAAAAAATTAAACAAAGATCATGTCAAACGAAATGCTTGGATGTTGTGTCGATTCATCCCGGCATTGAACGAGGCGGCACGATTCTATAAGGAAACCCATTGTGGTAAAGATGGCAAGCCGCCAGCCAACTTTGAAGAAACCTTGGTCTTTCATAAGAATATGGAAGTGGAAGCCATCCATTGAGTGGTTTGCTGGAGGAAACATACAAGACAAGACGTGCTTGACCAGAGCTGCCCATGTCACATTGCAACCACTAACATGCAAGACAAACGCACGAGAAATGAAAATGTATTTGTCTCCTCGCTGAATTCTACCGACGCACAATGGGATCCAACGAAGCAGTTATCAGTTTTGGTTGGGCAACGTTACGTGTTGCTACTGCTATTGAACAGGCTGGCCGCGTTGTGCTAGCCACTACCAATTTGCCTGATGCAATGAATGAGATGACACGAGCCTCGAACAAAGATCGCCTGGTTCGTTCGGAGCCTGATTTGGAACTCTTCACGGTACGGCAGTGTGGCTGTCGTGAATCGAATGCACGGCAAACAACGACTCCGGGACGGCTTTGATCTGGTTCAGTCTTTGCAACCCACAGACAACTCTCTCCTGGAATCGTTATTTGTGATCTCGCTCGGAATGGAATGGAATCGATGGATGATACCAGAGGCGTTGGTGGCTGGTGCCAATGCTGTTGGTATTGAATGATTGGATTCTGGCTGTAGAGATGTACATTATGTGGCGTAGATCAGTCAATGTTGGCGTGCACCGCTCCAACGCAGGTGTTGCTTGGTGACTTAAAGGCGTCTTCCGCTGTCCTCTAAGTATCTTTGTGGTGTACACGCCTTCAAAGACTCCACAGTTTGTGGTTTCAGATCCTCACAAAGTCCTCCACTCGCGACTTTGGGTGCACGATGCATTCAAACGTCATGTTTGTCAGTCTACTTCCAAAATTGTTGAAACTGGTAATGGGGGTCTAGAGTAGGGAAGTTTCAAAACTGTTGTTTTACCTTCCGATCGGCATCCCATTTAGTAGTCGCGTACAGGAACGGCATCAACATGAGGTGTTCGGTGTCAAGAGCAGCGTTTCTCTTTCAAATTTGGTATCTTTGCAGTTCGGGACTTTGTCGTACGGTGGCAGCAGAGCTCCAGTTAATTCGACACCGGAATGTGGAGGTACGTTGTTTTTCTTGTGCTGGTGGTCGCCTTGTAAGGTTCTCCAACCTGCTTTGTTCGCGATTGGTTGTTTTGGATACGTGCAGCAGAACAACAATGAGCCAAGTTGGGGATCCTGGATTTCCGGTTGGACGAATCGCATTGGCAGACGGTTGACTGGCGACGACGCCAGTGATTATCAACCCCGAGAAGGACGGTACACCGATACGGGCGCCGAAGTCTTCATGATTAGCTTTTCTGGTAAGTGCTTGAATAGTCGGCCATGCAACAATATCAGGAGTCGCTAAGGAAACAAGCCATTCATCCTTCTCCTACAGACGAAGAGGTAGAACTTGCCAAGAGCGGGTCTATGGAAGTACTGAACAACTTAACGATCACTCGAGTCACAGAGATGAATGGAGTCAACGGCAACCCACGCAATCGGTACATCTGGTCCATGGCATTGGATGACAACGACGACCTGTACGTGGGCATTCTCAATCAAAACTTCGTTCCCGGCAACATCACCGGTCTCCTTTGGTCCATTGTGAAGGCACCTTGGAGGAAGAAGTTTGATGCTCTGGTGGATACATTGTTGCGACAGTGGTCGGGGACACCCGTCTTTGAGAATCAGGGAGCACAAATCTACTACAAACCCCAGGATAGTCCCTCGTTTCAGTTACAGCTTGAGACGTCACCGGATCACTTGGGAGTAAGCACAAAGCTTGACATCGAGCATCAAGCACGTACATTCAACGATGAAACACTCACGCACAGTTATTTCTTTTTGTCACCTTGGCAGTTCCGGAAGATGGTCAATTACCATGGAAACATCTATGCGGGAAGTACCAATGGTCCCGATGGCCCCTATGACGGGGCTCCTTATGACTTCTCCTTCTATGAGCAAGGCACAGGGGCTCAGGTATGCGCTTTGGCTTGCTCAGAGAGTCTCTCCAAACCCCAGACTGAAGCATTCAAAAATGTTTTATTAGTCCAACCTAACACTTCCTCGCCCTATAACAGATCTTTACCAACGCTGGCAACGGCTCATTTGCACCATTGGATGACGAAGGTAACCTTGACTCTTATGACAAGGTACGTTTGATTGTTCCTGGCGGTTCGTATGTTTCGCCCTCGTTCCTTCTGACGACCTCGTCGCCCGGCTTAGTCGATTCGAAGCATGGTGGTGTCCAGCTACAGGTAGGCGGGGAATGAGCATGCTATGACCCCTCACTCCTCATGTCATCTCTTCATCCTGACACTTGCTCCTGCACTTGGAAACAGCGATCGTTTGTTTATTGGCACAGAAACCTACGAGTGTGCCAAGGTTCTCATCTACACGGACGCCCGCCCCGTAGATGGCAGCAGCCAGTGGAAGAAAATTGAAATGGAGGGGGATGACTGTACTCATTCCGTTTCTGGGTTTTATGATATGGGTGGAGGAAAGATCCTGTTTGGTACCTGGGAAACGTGGGGATACGGTGTCTTCCTGCTTGATGAAACCAACAATGACACTCTCACCAGACTCAATACTCCAACATGTAAGCGTCGCTGCTGGCTCTAGACCGCTGTGTTCGTGTCGTTGTCAGATGTCATGTTTGGCTGTATGACGACTGGTGGTGTTTGCTCTTTTCTGATCCTAGTTCTGTGTGCTGCCATTCGTCGATGGACCCAGATTTTCAGCATATTCCTTGCGGAGTGATGGAGATCAGAGTCTTCAAAGGACAGCTCTACATTGGAATTCTTAGTTTCATCAGAGGTTTTGCTTTGATCAGGACACCCAAATTCGACGATCTCTTGAATCTGAACCGAGGGGATTGGCAGTTGATCACTGGGAATGGTTTTGCCAGAGAACAACGACAACAAATGGGTGGGAACATGGCAGGGAATGAGTATCCTTGGACCTCGGCTGAAATCAACGGCATTTACTTTGTCGGCACCGTGTCCTTGACCCCTCGAGGATTCTCGTGGACAACTGGTCTTGCAAAGCTAGACCAAGCCCAACTTTGGGCTTCAGTCGACGGGAACACCTGGCAAGTGGTGGAGTCGGAGTTGTTCGACGCATCGCGGTTTATGTACGGTTTTCGAACGATGCAGGTGACAAAGGACCAAAAGAAGCTTTACATAGGGTCGGCTGTCAACATGTATCTTCCCGACGAACGATAGCACATCGTGCTCTGCCTCGACTAGCTGTCAAAAGATAGGTAGCAGTTTACATATACATCATCTATTCAATCAACAACATGCAGCTCATCAGTTTCTCGTTGCGTAGCCGCTTTCAAGCATGATGTGTTGCGTTGCGAGTCAAACCAGGCATCCGAGACTATGCGACAATGCTGACTTCTTGGAAGCCACGGTCCGTTTTGCACTCCTTCTGCCTCTTCTTTGCTTGATGCGTAGGACATGTATTCTGATGCCGTTTCCAATCTTCAGCCTGGCAGCTTTTGGAGCAGTAGTGCGCTGTACGGCACGGGCAGCTGAGGAGTTTTTGTCGTTCCGTTCCCTCGTGCCCACATTTGCGGCAAGATTGAATACCCTTATCTTCTTGGGAGTGCGAACAACCTTGGGCTCTCTCGCTGCGGGTAGTCGGGCTGGTGGTCTGAGCTGGGCTTGCTCTGGGCAAGTCATCAAACTTCACCCACATCTCCCCTGGCATTGCAGACACGAGTCCGTCCTTGTAGGAATCCACCGACCCACTGCGAAACAGGCGCGTCAGCAACTGTCTAGCTTGCTTCCTTTTCTTTAGTTCGGGCTTGAGTCTGTCCATGCACATGCTGCTTTGACCTTGACCTTGGATCCGAAAAGCAGCAGCCGGCTGTTCAAGTGGATCGAACCCGGCCTTGACAAGTAGACAAGCCACGGCCGGGAAGAGCTTCTCCTCGTCTGTAAGCGATGTCGTGTCATGAGTCGCTTGGCCCCTCCTGCTCTCAAGTGACTTGGTGTGCACCTCCTGATGCAGCAATACCAGATTGGCAATGATACCGGCTGACGCCTGGCTATTCCATTCCAACGCGTTGCCGGATGCCAAAACCTGCAGACCGATCAAGAGATGTTGCAGAGCGGCATCGTAAGCCTGCGCCTTTAAAAACGCCTTTCCAGCACTTGAGTAAGCTTGGGCCTTCAAGTCCACATTGGACGCAAAGTATTCCTTGGCAATCTCCACGTATAGGTCCCCGGCCTGGTTGCAGCGTCCCACGGACTCTAGAGCTCGTCCTATCTCAGACATGGCGGCTCCAATTGCTTTGGCATCGTCGAAGCCTGCGACAATATGAAGCATCAAATCAGTCCTGACGATGCACAGATCCAAAAGCTCGCTTAATCTGGAAGTCTTGGTGGCCAACACGAAGGAAAGAGTGCTGAACATGGCACTCAAAAACGTCCAGGGCAACATCCAGCCAAACTGGCGAAGAAACTGATGAAGCACTCGACACGCCAAGAGTTGGAGCTCTTCTTTGGACAATTGGAATTGAATACGGTCGCTGAAGACATGACGAAAGATGGTCCTTCCATTCCCAAAGCCAAATACCAGCTTCACTGCAGCATTGATATCTTCCGATTCTTCGCTTCGGACCCAGGCACATATAGACAAAGTATCCTTGGTTGTCTTGGGAACGTCGGCTTCGAACTTGAAGGCAAAGTCGCCATGCCAGAAGCCTTCCACGAGTTCCTGACAATTACTAGCACCTTCAGCAGGCCCAGACACAGGACAACATCCTGGCAAGAAGGCGGGACGAGGCAAGTCCCCGTAGACGGAATCCGCATCAATGCAGCTTTCAAACGATTCAAGGTAACAGGAATTAGGCGGCACTCCCAGGCAGAGCAACCCTTCTTCTTCCAGTGGAAGTTGAAGCGGGATGAAGCCACCGTCATCATTGAGCGGAATTGCTGCCTCTAAAGAGGCAACATTGTTTCTCTTTGTTTTGTCAATCATGGCTTTCATCCTCTCGCGTCAATTGATCGAATTTGTGGGCTGTCCGAGAAGCTGATATGCTGACGACTGTGAAAGGCTTTGGGTCACTTCCTGTCGGCGCTCGGGACAACCCTAGCTTGACCAGAGGGCAACTTCGCCGTTCCTTGGAGCTTCGAGCGCTGCATACTTAGACTATTCATTTGGGTTCGCCATGCGCCACAGAACGTTCAATTCGACATCAAGCCACAGCTGGCACCTTCCTTCTGCGCTTTCTTTACTCTTGCTGGCTGCGGTACAGTAGGGATGGATCAGAAAATAGAAGTGGTTGACGTTTGCTGAGCTTTTCTCCTCTTCTCGCTGGACGCTGGATAGCTAGCTAGCTAGTAGCCACTGATAGACCAATCGACGAAGGCAGATGACAGTTTGCGTCTTCCTCGGTGTATACTGGTT